GGGCCCCTGCCTGCACCATGCGGAAACAGAGACCCCCCCCCCCCTAGAGTGTGTTGAAAATCAGAGCCCCCTAGCGTGCACCAAGAGCCAGAGTTCCCCAAGAATCCAGTATCAGAGTCTCTGTTGTTTCGCGCAGCCTCGCATTGAGAATCAGGGTCCCTGTGTGCACATGCACCAAGAATTGGAGCCACTGGCTCTTAGTGTGAATGCACAGGGAATCAGGGATCCCAGGCACAGGTGATAAGAAACACAGTCAGGTCTCTGGTGCTTGGTGCTGCCTCCCGCCAGGAGAATCGGGGTCTCAGAGCCCCTGCTGCGGGGAACAAGCCCCCAGTGTTTGCACACTTCCAGGCTAAGACTCCTGTAGCAGCACTGAGGCCCGGGTGGGCGAGGGGTGGGTCTATCAGTTACTATGGCGCTGCCCGTGAGCCTGCAGGGAGGGGGTTGGGCTCTGTTACTCACAGAGATCTGCTGCCGGGATGTCTGGATTCTTGGTGTCCCGGGGTCTGTAGTTCAAGTCTCCTCACTCTTGTCCAAAATGGGGGAATGGAGTATGGCTGCTCTCAGCCCCCATTTCTTGCAGTTCCTGGACATAGCATGTAAGCCTTTGGTTTGGGGCTTTCATGCCAACTCCTATAGGAAACAAGAGGAGTAGAGAAATCAGAGCAAGAACAAAAGTGGTCTCTTGTGTAGTATTTCTATCAGGAGGAAATTTCTGAACAATTCAGCATGGCACTTTTCCTGTAGAACAAAAAGTACCCTTTGGGAATTAAATAGGGAATAAAACGTACATTGGCTGATATTTTTTTTAAATCCTAACCCAAAAGCATGTTTAGAGAGAGGAAGAGAGAGAGAAACATCAATGTGAGAGAGAAACATTGATTGGTTGCCTTCCATACATGTTCTGACTGGAGAATCAAACTGGCAACCTTTAAGTGCATAGGATGCTGAGTCACTCTGGCTCACTTTAGTCTCATTTACCCTTCTCTTGAGACCAAATTTTCATGGATGTGGATCATAATCTGTGAGGTTTCCTCCTTGCTCTGGAGAATGAAATCAAAGACTTCAACTGTAGCTATTATGAACACAAGGCTATAAACCTAGATAAATGAATTCCTAGTGCTACCCTGTACATGATGAATAACAATTTCTTGCACTAAACTGGATGTAAAGTTTATGTAACATTTTATGCTGAGAAATAAAGTGTCACTAACAGGCACATTGATGTGAGAGAGAAACATTAATCAGTTGTCTCCCACACATGCCCTGACCAGGATTTGAACCTGTGGCTTTTGGTTTTACAGGATGACACTTCTATACTGAGCCACACCGGCCAAGGCTATGTGATATATTTTTAATAGATCAACTTCTCTCCTACGCATTTAGGATGGAGCTAGCTATAAATGTGAGAGAACTGAGAAATTTGGGAGTCAGAGAAAGACAAGTATCACATGATCTCACTCATATGTGGAATCTAATGAGCAACATAAACTATGAACAAAATAGATCCAGAGACATAGGAGCATAGAATAGAATGTGGCATCACAGAGGGAAAGTGGGGGAGAGTGGGTGGGTGGGAAGTGATCAACCAAAGAACTCGAATGCACATATGTATAACCAATGGGCATGGAAAATAGGGTGATGAAGGCCTGGGGTAAGGGGCAGGAGCAGGCTAGAAAGGGACAATGAGGGGGAGAGGGAGAGGGACATATGTAACACTTTCAACAATAAAGATTTTTTAAAAATGTTAATAGGGGACAGTTGGTCTGGGGAATATGGAAACTTCTTTACAACTTCTCTATCAATCTAAATATATTCTAAAATAAAATGGCTATTTTCTTTTCTTTCTTTTTTCTCTTTTTTAGTGAGGATTAGGGAGGAGTTACTGAAGGTTTTAGAAGAGAAGATATGAAATAGTTTTTAATTTTTTTTAAAATATATTTTATTGATTTTTTACAGAGAGGAAGGGAGAGGGATAGAGAGTTAGAAACATCAATGAGAGAGAAACATTGATCAGCTGCCTCTTGCACACCCCCTACTGGGGATGTGCCCACAACCAAGGTACATGCCCTTGACCGGAATCCAACCTGGGACCCTTGAGTCTGCAGACTGATGCTCTATCCACTGAGCCAAACAGGTTAGGGCATGAAATAGTTTTATAGAAGTTAATGAATGGAGTAGATAGATTCGATATGGTTGCCAAGCACCATTAGAGTCCAAGCATTTAGTCATGTGTTCAAGTGAGACCAATCAACGTGGTTGTGTGTGTTTTTCAAGTCAGGTTTCACTGCAGGTGTAGTCAGAGATGAACACTGAGTTTAATCAGGATTTATTTAGTACATTGAAGAGAAAGCAAGGGGATTCAGAGTGTATGCAAGGGAATGATTTTATCATTTCACTACTGATTATTGTATTTGGTCATATGTAATTTAGCCTGGTGTTTTAGTTTCATAGGGCTTCTGCAGCAAAGTGCCACAAACTGTAGTTTAAAACAATAGAAATTTGTTTCACAGTCTGGAGGTGAGATGTCAGCAATCACAGTGCTGGCAGGGCCATGTTCCCTCTGAAGCTTAAGGGGAGAATCCTTCCTTGCCTCTTCCAGCTTCTAATAACCCCAAGCATTCGTTCCTTGGCTGTGGTAGCAGAATTCAGATCTTTACCTTGTCTTCATATGGTTATCCTTTCTTTTCTCTTTTTGTAAGGATGCCAGTCATATCAAATTAAGGCCCACCCTCATCTTTTTTTTTTAAATTAAATCTTTATTGTTCAGATTATTACAGTTGTTCCTCTTTTTTTAATAATCTTTATTGTTCAGATTATTACAGTTGTTCCTCTTTCCCCCCCCCCCATAGCTTCCTTCCACGTGGTTCCCCCCCACCCTCCGCCCTCATCCCCACCAACTGTCCTCCTTCATAGGTGCATGGTTTTTGTGCAGTCTCTTCCCGCATTCCCCACAGCCCTTTCCCCCAAGAATAGTCAGTCCACTCCCTTTCAATGCTCCTGATTCTATTATAATCACCAGTTTATTCTGTTCATCAGATTATTTATTCACTTGATTTTTAGATTTGCTTGTTGATAGATGTGTATTTGCTGTTCATAATTTGTATCTTTACCTTTTTCTTCTTCTTCCTCTTCTTAAAGGAGACCTTTCAGCATTTCATATAATACTGGTTTGGTGGTGATGAACTCCTTTAGCTTTCTCACTCCTCTTCTGTCCCAGCAGC